TCCTCAACTTGAACTACTCAGCAGGTAATTTGAGGTCCTCTTCAGGCACTCCCCAACTTGAAACAGATCCCCTTTCAAAAACAACCAGACGTAAACAACAAGTAAATGCATCCGTCTTGTCTAGGGTATGAAAATTCTGTTAACAAGTTGAATTTCTAGACAAAGTAGTCCACACATAATTCCAATGAATCACTTTTCTGACAGTCTATACAAACTACTGCTGCTTAAGAAACACCACTCCCTGCACTCCAAACAGCTTGTGATTCCCTAAAAGCTGTAATTAATAAAGCAAAAGTGGGGAAAACATTGTGTCTAAACGCTTCAAACGTGTCGACAAATGCAAATGTTTCGACGCAGAGCCGCAAAGACACCTGAACAGAATACATTACGGGCTTTGTTTACACCGGAGGATTCTTTTGAGGAGAGACACAACCTAAGGAAGTGCGCCTCATGATGCAGGGAGACAACAACAACTATTTATATTTAATGCAACGAAACGCAACAGCAGTACAGAGGAGATTGCACTCATCACAGAGGAGATGCTTTTAGGTAGAAGGCGAGCCACGACTGCACTCATTTGTGGTCCACGATAGTCTATTTGGACAAGGCGCACGTAGAAAATTATATAAAATCGGGAACATTTTACCTTTTTCCTATGTGTTTTTTATTGTCTCAGTCTGTATAATGAAAACACAAGGTCTGTCTTAAAAACTATTATTTTTATTTATGCGTTTTTTCCCCCTAATACAGTCCAGAGATTTTTAACTGTTTACCCTTTACGTTCTTGACTCTCTTAAGTACATATAAAACAATTGCTATTGTATCAGTACATGAACGTTTCTCTATAGTTCATCTATTTTTGGGCCTAATAATAAGTAAGTAAGTAAGTAATGTTTACTAATATAGTAAGTTTTACAGACCAAGGTCACCCAAAGCAATGTTTAGAAACCAGATATATATATTTTTTTCCATTCAAACACGGTGATAACGGAAGCGAATGACAAGAATAGGATCACAATTCTTCACCTAATGACTGTATAAAATGTTGAGTAAGAATCACTTTCTTTCATCCAGGAGAGATATATACAAGAGGAAAACGGTTTTAAAAAATTATCAAATAAAACTAATTATTTTTTACAGTATTATCTATCAAGCAACACAGATAGCAGTTGCAGGATTACTGTCGCAACAACACATTATCAGTATAGGGTAAAACTAACCTGCCTCACGACGGTCTAAACCCAAACTATGTGTGAAACTGTCAAAATAATTATTAAATGAAAAAACTGTGACTACGTGCCCGATCATTTCCATTCATAAGACTTATTGACGTGTGTAGACCTGTTATTGCCTGTATAGACCTGTGTATGCCTGTATATGCTAATTCAGGGGACATTTTCTTTTTAGGTCTTTAGCAGCCAACCAAAAGCACTCCCTCAGCTGTAACCTAACAGTGCGGCTCTTGACTGTCTGTGTAATTATAAAATAATCACTACAGCCATTACATTTTTATTTGCATTTATATCTCATTGTACATTCTGCCCGTCATGGATCACATCTCCTCTGCGACCCATGACCTCCTCTCTGCCACGCACACTATGATAACATCTCATTGACAGAGAACTTCACATAATTAGGCAAATTCATGTACCTTCCTGTATTTTAAATAGGTTGACCCCATGATCTTATGACTTCTATTAAAAGACCTTGGTGGGTCATTTAAAGCAACTGACGCGTGGACACAATATTCCGTTTATGCACAGAGATATAGAGATGCACGCTGAAGCTTCCATAATATGTAAAGTTATTTTTGTCTTCTTATAATTAAGGCTCAGGTAATTAAGAAGTACTAGCTTCTTTACATTTTTTGTCTAATTAAAATAACCTTCTAAGCCTTATAAGACGTAAAATATTAGTGAGGAAAAACTAATTTAAAGTTTTACATTACACACAACTGAAGTTCCACCATGAGCCACTAGAGGGAATCAAGGAATCTTCACTGACCTACATCCAGACATCTTCCCTTTGCCTCAATTTTGATTATTAGTTTGACAGTGAAATTTGAGTTTTTTGTTCATTTCAACCTTGATTTGATACTAAGAGCTGTTTTTTGTGAAATGAGAAATGTGCTTTTTCTTTCCATTATAAACTTGCATGTTGTATTTGGTGAAATATTAAATAATTACTTAAAAAACTGAAGGTATATAGGAGGATTTTCCCAAATTTTCGGAAAGAACCGCCCTCTACTTTTTGAAACTCTCTGCTCTTGTTGGAGGAGCACGTATCACCAGAATGATTGACAATTAGGAGGACCAATAGTCTAAATGATCCACCCGGAAGTAGAAAATAGTCCTATACACCTTTAAAAATAGAGACAGCACAGATCATCACAATTGGATTGCTGCAGAGAAATACATTACAATCCACTTTTAGCACTTAAAACAAATCGACAAATAACAAAAATAAAACATTGTTACTTATGGCAATTTGGTTTCCGTCAGTGCAGGACACCCAGCTCTTCAATTAACTTTTGTTTTTTGCTTTGATTGTTTAAAGTACTTCTAAAGGCCATTCTTTTCTTTTCCAGTCTATTCTTATTTACTGTTATTCTCCTGGAAGTGGCAGAGCAGGTTGGTGTTACCACCTGAGCACAAGAATCTGAAAGTCCTTAGTTCAGAATCTTGTAATCCGTTTAAACTTTTCCCTACTGGTTTTTGGCAACCCCACTGCCACACTCCTCAAATAAGTGATAAACACTTGACAAACAGCTTAGAACGGTGACAGCTGAGCCATATGCAGTGGGAGTCAGCAGAATCTCTCCATCCGTGGGTGTAGTTCGCACACTATCAAAATGTTGCTCTCTCGCCGTTTTGAAATGTTAAATTATGCTCTAAACGTAGTCAACTAAATCTTTCAGCTTTTCACACTCTTCAAGTATGAACATGGTGCCAAACTGCTGAAGCATTATTAAACCCTTGATAATAATAATATTGATTTGATCCAATTATTGAGCTTGCTTTGCCACATACATGATCAGTATTCAGAATTGTTGGCTTTTTTCCTATGGACCAAACGCAGTTGCAGTATTTGTATTTCAGGCATAGTGTGTGTTCTAAGGACAGGTGCAGGTGTACCCGTGACTTGAATATAACAGGAGAGAAAAATCTGGGAAGGAAGACAAAATATGTCTAAACTTGTGATTTAAAAAACACAAGTTTAGACATCTGGGAACAGAGATAAATTCCTGGGTTGGATCAACACAGTATATGAAGAGTTCATTTGCTTGCCTTGAGCAGATATCTCCATTTAATATGTCATCACTTTCTATTCCTCTAGCTACAATCTTCAATATACTTTGATAGAGATATACATACATACATACTTTATTGATCTCTGTAGGATAAATGCATTGGCATTGGTTATTGGCAATAAATATGAAAGAGTTTTCTCAACAAAAGGGTGAAACTGTATTCACATGACACTGAAATACATCTGACTTTTCAACAAAAACTATATGGGGCAAACTGTAAGCCTTTCAACTAGTATAAAGGCACTCAATGGTGTTTAACATTTTAAATAAACATTTTACAATAGAACAAATATGCTTATATATACACATATGTACAACTATACATAGTCAGCATTCTGACTACCACTAAAAACATGCACACTAGGTAAAATCCTCCTACTCTGACCAAGCCGAGCATCAACATCTGGAGATGGGTTCCCGGGCGCTGTACAACGGACACAACTGCTCCTGACATAAGCCTTAGTGGCATCAGGATGGGTCAAATGCAGAGGATGAATTGCCCTACAGGGATAAATAAAGTGCACCTATACCTTTACCACAGAGGGATAACATAAAACCTGTGTGTTGCAAGGTTGTTAAAGAATGAAAAAAGTAACATTTATAGAATAAGCACAGTACAAAAAATAGAATATGTTTCAAAAGTGTGTTGTTTTTATTGCTTTTGGGTGATGAATGTGTTGCATATGTACTCATTTCATTTTGTAATATTTTGAAGAGAGGTTTTCTATTCCTATTTCCTATTTCTATTTTCTATTCAAAAATGATGACTTTTGGATGTGGAATTTGACCAGGACGATTAACCAATATATTTGTTCTTTTACTTCTTTTACTTTACTACAGATGACTGACACCTGCTGCAGCCAATGAGAGCAGCGCCTGGTCACGTGCTGCAGTTGCCACACAGACGACTCCCCCCTGAGCCAATCACGGAGGAGGACAACACAGCTCTTCACTGCGTGTGGCGAGGGAAGCAAAACAACAACAGCCTTTTCCACCAAATGTTGTCAAGCGTTATCAAAATCACTGATATTACAGCACGGTGCACGTCAGTAATGGTGACATCTCTGCGGTTTATTCAGCTTTGCCTCCCTCCCCCGGGTTGACAACTCTATATCTGTGCAACGCTTTGTCCCCACTTCCTACATATAAAACGCATTTGGCCACAGCTCTGTCTCTCTATCTGCAATGTGATTAACCTCAATCTTTAGCCGTGACTAGCTAAACAGGTTTGCTATGAAGGAACGTCGCTCGATCATGTAAAACGCTACAAAATGGCATTACAAACGGTGTGGTGTTTTGATGGTTTAAGCTACTCGTACATATGCATCTCTTTGGAGAAAAAAAACTTCCTCGAGTTCTTTTGTTCAACGCAGGCCATCGTGGAAGTAGCACATACGGGGGGAAATTGTGCAAACTTTGACAACGTCGTGGCTAATGCACAAGACGCAAAAAATATAAGTTAGCCAAACGGAATCGTCGAACAACGTAGTCGAGTTAGTCAGTGTTAATGATAGCTGATGTTAGCTAATGTGCGCGTGGGCCTGAGTGCGCCATCACCAAAACAATGGTTAGATAAGCCTGCACACCAACAGCGATCAGCGCCTATCTGAGGCACAACTAAGTCAAAACTGCGAGAATAATACTGTCTGATCCACCATAAGCGATTGCAGATGAAATTCAGAATACTCACAAGTCAGTGTCGCATTCAGTGTTTTTTTGATGCACTGGAGAAAGGAGAGATGCCCTGGTACTTTTGAGACGTCCGCTGCCAGAGGAAAGTGTGTCAGTGGTTCATGGAGGCTCCAGTACGGGCGACAGCTGCACAGGACACCGGGGGATGAGTGGTCAGCATGCGGCTCCAGAAGGTTGTCACACCGCGGAGGAGCAGTGCTTGAAGAACAGCTGAAGAGAGAGGATGTAAACACGCGGGTCACGTGGTGCGAGGTTTCTTGTTGATCAATGGATCTGTTTTCCTCGTGCTGGGAGGGTTTGGACTGTTCTGCTCCATCAAGGCTATGTTTAGACTACCTGCCCTTCCAAAGATAAGAATACTCTATTTACTAGCCAGCAGGTTGCGTCTATCCATGTGACGTCACAACATCCTAAGAGGCTAAAGTTTCAAATTGTGGTGGAGGGCAGCCGAAAAATCTCTCCTGGTAATTCTATAGCAAGTGTCGAAGTTCCATAGTTTATTATTGCTATTCCTGGGACAATCCACTTAAAACAAAAACTGCCAAAAAAGTTCCACATCTTTGTCAGTACATCAACTATGGTCAAATTAGATCTGTCCACCCATCCATCCATTTTCTTCCCCTTGATCCATTTCTGGGTCGGTGGGGTGGCAGTCAGAGCTGCACCCAGCACACATAGCACCAGCCCCTCACTGATCCTCCTGCAGGTGGTGAGTCCACAGAAGGCTTGATTTTTTCAGGCAAAGTTGAGTTAAGTGTCTTGCCCACGGACACAACGACAGCAGGCATCAGTGAGAGTCGTGTAGTAGGTCTCATGCTGGGCTCAAACCCATGATCTTCGGGCTCAAAGGCCAAATGCTCTACCAACTGTTGCCCCAAATTTGCTCCGATTAAGATTCATTTACTTACCATTTTCATTAAAACTACATTGGAATACATACAGTATGCAAAAGTCCCCAGTATGCACAAGGTAAGTACATAAATAAACAAGGTTAACAGTACAGGAATAAAACAAACTTTAAAAAGTGCAGGAAACATTTGTCTCTGTGAAGTCCATCAACTAAAACAGTTTCAATACAAGTGCAAGATTATTAAAGTGCTCTGTTTAAAATGATAACAGCTTGCGGAAATAAGTTGTTAGCAAAGTGAGATGTCCTGCTTCACAACGAACGATATCTTCTGCCAGAGGGAAGACGCTGGAACTTGGCTTTTCCAGGGGTCAGAAGAGTCATTCATTATCTTAAGAGCTTGGTTTAAGATAATCATTAGATAGTCATTATTATGTGTCTAAGTAGTGACAATATTCAAAAAAACATATGCATGATGTTGGACAGTAGAGAGGACTTTCAGACACAAGAATAATCACACAAAATATGATCTGGGGAAACATTTGGGCTTTTTTTCCCGTCATGAATTGTCTCTTTCCCATAGAGTCTGGACACAAAACTGTAATGGATGTGTATGGAAGCCCCAATATCAGTCTTACAGTTACCCAAAGTATGTTCTGTATTTCAGAATTCAACAGGGTGACATGTTTTTTGTAGATATTAAGGAGGGTGTAGCTGATTTCACAGATTTGGGAGAAGGACTATATTTTTAATTCTATTTTTTTTATTGGCTTGTAGTTCAAACTGGTTCTGATTAATCGCAGAACATTTAAATTGTCTGGAAATAAGGGGTATACGTACATTTTGAAGTTGATGATTTAATTTCCAGTAGTCTAATGGCTATTTTCTATCTATTGGCTATATTTACCAATGTCAACCCATTGGAATGTTTTAAGTCTCGTCTGCCTTTTTTTTCTATTTTCTCTATTTTATTGTTTTATGTCTACTTGTGTATATTGCTTTTATTAAAATCTAGCAGACTTGTATATTTAAATGTGTTACTTTTATCTCTGCAGCACTTTGAAAATGTGTTTTTTAAAATGTGCTAAGTGGATTGGATTGGGGAGCGACTTGGAAGCGACAGGTTGGAGACCCCTTGCGTAATGTAGATAATGTAATATCTTTCTTTGCTAACAGATATATCACACTGACTCTACATGTACCGTTCCTGCATCTTAGATTCAACTCCCAGAAATGAGATGTATCCTGGAAAGTCTAACCCATCTATAACCCACACTGCTCCTCAAGGCAAGTCCTATATTTAGTGAAAAGCTTATTTCCGACTGCACCTCCACTGTAGCATGAAGAAGGGCCAACACTGGTCAGCAAATAGTCAGCTATACTTGAACTCACCTGAGGGAGCATTCGCAGTGTTCATCTGTCATAACATCCCTGAAGTGTCTGACTCCGATCAGTGCACACTTGTTCGGCACCCCCAGAAAAAGAACCAGAATTAATCCAATTAACGTGAACTAACACTAGGCCTAAGTGTGAGCGCACCCTAAATAAGCTTCACTTGGCTATAGTATGTAAATCAGATCCACTTTATTATTTAGAATCTTTGATAACTGAAATATGTTACTTATTAGCTAAGAATTTCACTATATAAAATGAAGTGACGCAGTCTAGTTTGCTTCGAATTGATATCCGTAATATCCGTTAACACTGCAGTATATTTATATCTGTGCATGGCCATAAGATGTAGTAACTGCCAACACTCACATTGAAAATAATGTTGCGTTATGCAGCTGGCCATATCCTTGTGCAATATATCTCTCCTGGAAAATGGGTCATGCTTGCTTATGTGGCCCCATGTAACCTCCTCAGTGTATGGGTAGAATAGAAATGATTATGAATTTAGGATGATTCTAAATTCTTTCTAAATGATTGTCAACGTCAAGGTAAACGTTCCGACAAATTTTCCAGTAATGGGTCATCAGTTATCGCTAATTGGTTGCATCTATGTCCATTTTTTACAAGATGTCGAGCATGTGCATCCAATAAAGAGGCCCACTACGGAGAAAGTCTATACAGAAAAATATCTAGATATTTATAAATACAGAGAGAGAGAGATAAAATAAAATAAAAAAATGCATTAGTCAAAAAGTACTTTGAAACTTGTTTGGGAATTTCATGTGTATCCCTATATTTGGAAGTTTCTAGATTGTAGGATTTGGCTTGCCTGTCCTGTCAATCAAATCTAGAAGGCCCTGGCTGGTCAAGCAACAACAGGGTCTTTCAGATGTACAGTAATTTCATTTCAGCATTAATTCTGCAGACCTAGGGATATTGTAGGCACATGGGTTGTCTGGGGTCATGTCGTTCTGGGGTCATGTCGTTCTGGTTCAAAATGCGTCTCTACATTCAGCAGCATACAGGAATAGCATAGACAGGAGAGTCCGTGCTTGGGAATCTGGCACTAACTACTACTTTGAGACATCTTGTGCACTTGCTTGATCCTGTCACCTAACTTGCCCTGTTTTTATTGACTTCCAAAATGTTCCAGGTGGCTTGCTCATTGGTTTTAACCCTTTAACATTCACTGTATTTTTTTCTTTCTTGGAAAAAGATATAGGAGCATTCATAACACTAATAAAAAATTGCAACCCCTATTTTTATTTTTATTTTTATTATAAGCCTTTACCAAATGGTTGAGATGCAGTTTGATGGTAAAAGTGCTTAACATCAAGTGAGATGCCCAAATTAGGTTTATTTCAGTTTCAAGCTTGCTAAAGGTAGATATTGACTCAAAAGGTGATCTTCCAAATAGTGAACATCCACACTCACTGTTTTTTGTAATGTTGTAAAATATGGCCAATGGAGAAATACTATGGATTAAAATGGTTTTGCAGCGGGGGTTGATGGATCACGTTTGGAGTCTGCAAGGCTGGCCAAAATGCGAGCCCTGCTTTTATTACCTATGAGCTATGTAAAGAGATCAATCCACTAATAGGCCTATGCTATTGTAGTTACTTTGAAATGAACTTATTTGAAACAAAACTCTGAAACCCTAAGCCTTGAAGCATTGGTCTGAGGGTGAAATTAGGTGAAAACACAATAGATAATTTACTGCAACACTAACAGTATACAGTAATGTGAACATGATAATAAACAAAACATGTACAACTTTAGAAGCATGACAAACGACAATGCAATAATTAACTTAGAAGCAAAGCTAAAAGCGCAGATATTTAGATATAGAAGTGGAGGGTTAAAAGTTTTCTAAAAATATAGGATCTAGTAAAGTAAAGAACTGAAACCAAGAAAAACTACTTCAGTAATACAAAGTAAAATTACTTAGATACTTGGCAGCTCTAACGCCAAGTATGTAAGCAACAATATTATTTGCTAGACCACTGCTAAAGATCCTATTTAGAATACTATGGAGCAAATAATCTATATATATATATATATATATATATATACATTTGTGTGTGTGAAATCTCCTATGAACTCACTGACCAGCTGTGATCTGTTGTGGTTGTTCACCTCTGCAGCCGCTAGATGTCACTGTCGTCAAAGGAAACGCACGGAGCCGTAAAGAAAACAGACGCGTTTGAAAAGTTTATTTCTACCATACACAAACTGTACAACACAGCGCATATCTGTTTATTATGAAATAGTAAAAGTAATAGGAAGTTTAAATTTACAAACTACCTGAACTCAAAAAGCATTACATTTCAATGTAAAAGAAAAGAAAAATACAATACGATTTCATCATACTAATATCATTCCACAAAAGCATTTCACATTACAAAACATCAAATACTAACAGGGAAAATAAATATTATTCACAAAACTTCCTGAGCAAACAATGTGGAATAAGAATTAAATAAAAATAAATAGGTGATGATTACTTTTTTTGACAAAATAATTTTCTAGAATTTGGCCCTTACTTTGTCTTTGAAAAGTAGCTTTGTAATTGTTTTGACTACCCAGTATAAAAGTAAAGACATATCGCTGAAATTATCAATGATTTCACTTTTTTTTTCAAGAATGCAAAGGGCAGCGTGGCTATCTCAATGTACAAAAGTGCAATGATTTAAAATAAACCAGTAAGCCAAAAACATTTATGTTGTTTTTCTTTTGTAAAATAATTGCAACTGAAATGCAAAACAGAAGTGATTTGTGTTTATATTTATTTTGACAGAGCTACTTCCATGTTTGCTGAAAGAGTATTCCAACTGGTCTAAATGCTAAGGCCCTTGTGGAATTACAATTTAAGACGCACTCAATATTGATATAAAATAATTCTCTTGAAAATCTATGCAAGAACAGGACTCTTGACTTCAGATACTGGGACAATGTAAGTGAAACAGTCATCAAACATTTGCTCCTATGAAAATAATTGTACTGTATAATAAAATTAGACACCATCCACATAATACTGTCCTACCACAAAACATAGTCATTATATTTTTTTATGGATCATATACATTTAGGCACATACTATATGCACACGCCGCAGTGTGTGCACAAAAGGCAGTTTAATATCTATATATGACAAAAGACATCTTGACAAAGTGTGGGTTCTTCATTTGTGATGCACTTCTCTCATGGCACGCTTTGCAAAGCAGAACTGGACATTCAAGTTCACTGATGTTGCATGATTTTTTGCTCAGTGTCACTGTTTGCATTCAGCTGCTTTTTGGAAAAATACAGTACAGATGCATTTTGATCTCACTTCGTCTTTTATACATTCAGCATCCAATAGTAGAGAAGAAAGCAAGAGCAATTTATAAAATATTTATGCTTTTGGTAGTGTATTTTCAGGGGAATCCAACTGAAGAACTAAGAATAATATTAATATATGTATTCAACACTAGATGGCGTACGTACGCCATCAAATTGGAATGTGCTTCTACAGTGCGCAGAACAAACTTTGATATTATAAATTTACACTTGTCAAAATAAATAAAACTGGGAAATAAATTACATAGATGGACAAATATAATAATAAATAGAGATAATATAAGAAAGACATGATCACATATAGATTAAAATCAAGCAAATAATACAAAATAATTAAGTGCAAGAGAGGGTAAATGGTCTCACTGGGATGACCATGTTGTGTGAATGCAGAAACAGAAAAGCATCTGGCCGGTAATGTTCTCAGTGCAGTGTATTTATGTGGAAATGTCGCACACATTTCCAAAAGCCTTGTCTTATACGTACATGCAGCCAGGTCTGCACTCGCGTAAAATAGGGCTATCTAGTGCCATTATCCCAAGTCAAAGAAACCCCTGGGTAGTACTGCTTAAACATGGATGCCCTTAATAGCCTGTTTGATATTATCCAGGAGGGCTTTGCACTCTGGAGAGTATTCATGCTCCGAGTTGTTGTACATATCAGTTAATGTGTTCACATAGGCTTCAAAATTATGCTCACTGATGGGTCCCTGCAACAGAGTAAAACACTATTAGTGAAGCACATTCATGACCATAGCCCTATATGAGGAGTGGAGGGTTTGCCATACCATTTGAGGCAGTTGGATGTCTGTGAGGCTGTTAATGAGGGTTTGGCTAAGGCGTGCGAGCTCCTTCAGAAGACTGTCATTGTGCTGTTCAATCATCTTGTTCTCTTCCTCAATTGTCTTCAGGTTACATTCCATTGATGAAATCTGCTTTCGGGGCAAAATAAAAAAGCACAGTCAAAATTTGGAAGCCAGAACACAGAAAACACCTGGTTGAAAGAGGAGCGATGCCAGAGTAAATATTTACCTGGGTTTGGAGCTGCATCATGTCAGCTTCTATTTTCATGTTGGAATCGCTTAGTTCCTTTATTTCATGATCCAAGTGTTGAATGTCATCCTTATTTTCCACACCTAAGTAACAAAAGACAATATTGATTGTGTTGATGCCAGTCGTGTCTGTGCTGTTCCGTGAAGTATGCTCACCACTGCTAGTTTTCACTTTGATAGTCATCTCTTCTTCTGGATGCTTTTTCTTGATACTTTGTGCATTCAGCGGGCAACCTGATAAGCTGTGGTTCAGCAGGTCAAAAATGACATATCTTAGATAAGGGAAGAACACATGGTGTAGAGTCAACAGAACAATGCCACTGGTGCCATTGTAAAAAGTGAAAGTAATAACTGGAACATTGTTCTAATTTTTTAATAATTGTCAACAAAAAAAGGCCAATGAAAAATATTTTCTGTAATATAGGGCTGACTGTATTCTCTACAATATCTTTAATAAACAAACAAATAAATACGTGGAGGCTACATACAGAGAAAATAGGGAAAGCCCCTTCAGTTTGTTACTTGAATTATGCCTGAACAAATAAATAAATAATGTCTGATATTGATTTAAGGTCATAACGGTCAGCCTTAGAAAAACATAACATGTCGGCCTCTCTTATTGTTTTGAGATAAAATGGAGGACCAGTGGCCTCACCTTCTGTGAGTGGCAAACACATTATTGGCATGTCCAAGGCCATTGCAGCCAGGCAGGGGACAATGGGGCAGTTCCTGTTTATTGGCCTTCCAGGCAAAGGGCAACCCAGTGATGGACGACTCCTTCTGTCTTTTGGCAGCCAGTGGACAACTGCTCGCGCTGCGGTGAGACGTGTATTTCCCCGATATATGGCCCTGTCCATCACATCCTATTACTGGACACCTACCAGGAACACACAAATGTTGTTAATCTGTATTCGCACCGGGGAAAATCATTCAGTGTTAGTTGTATTCAATAATATCTCTGTGCTAAAACATGTGACTGCACTAAACAGATATGTAGAGCTGGAACAAATGAAAAAATAGTGGACAGCCATCTTCTGGGATCATTAAAAAAACACTTTTAATAACTAGACCGGAAGATTTGTTAACCATTAAGTTGATTAATCCTGCCAAATGCTGATTAAAAATAAACTCTCTAAAACTACAAATGGACTCCACTAATCGCATTACCCACAAGTTAGTAATCCTTGAGTGGGAAAAATAATGTGTACATTCTACCATTACTAAAATTTGTGCCAAAAACATGATTCCTGCTGCACGTTCATTAAAGAGTTTATCAGTTGCATTTCCAGCCCTGTTCTCTGCAGGTCGGTAATGGAGTGACATGAATTACACATAATTGTCATCTGTCCCCTCATGCGAAAGAATGTAATTTAGAGGTGGCTATAACCCTCTCCCTTATTGATAAAGGTGAAAGATCACGTGAGATGATACAAATAGCAGCATGTGCAGAGTGCAGCCACAAAAAGCCTGTTTCAGCATTTTGTTTCTCAGTGGTAGAGGTAAAGCTGCACTTAGAGGGCAAAACCACACAGGCCCAAGTACTTTCATGAACCACAGGTAGGTAGCTGTACACACCACCCCAGGACAATGGAGACATGCCATATGGCCCACCATTTACAATAATCTAGGACCATAGCCACCCTCCCCCTTTCTCTCTATGAGATCTAATTCCTAAGCTCACTCTCCTGCATTAGTAATTAAAAAGAAAAAAAAAATCACTGTCCAGATCATAAACTGGCCCAGATGTATAAGTAAACAAGGGTTCATATATCAGACTTTGGGTTTAAACTGCAAATCAATTACATTATTTTTTTTTCCAATACCACTTTCAGAGTAAAGAGTGATTAAAAGTGACATCAGCACAGCACATTTTCTTAATAAACTATAATTATAAAAAAGCACTCGTTTCAGGCTGGATAGATACTCCATTCTGTCAACACACAAAACTAGATCCCCTCCACTGTTAATCCGCGAATAAAGATACTGTTGTGGGAGAAGTATTATTTTCTTTGATGGCCTCCAGGTATAATACCCAACAGCGTGCGGCGTGACACATTTCTCCAATATTTCTCCCCGTTGATTGCTAACAAAGAGATGACAAAGTGATCTTACTTAAGCTCTTGCTCATCTTTCTCCTCCTTGTTTGGTGTGAGCCTCAAGCCTCCTTTTCTGGCGCGCGGACATCCAGACAAACTGCGCGAGGACAGGACAAGGTTAGCACGCGCGGAAAAAAAAATACTAATAATCGAAGGTTACAGTGTTAAATATTATGTCACTGATCAGACATGTTTCACTAAAAAAAGAAAGAAGTCGTAGTTGTTTAAGTATCGAAAAAGTTATGTATTTGTTTTGTATTTACTCGGTAATTAACGTTAGCTCAGGTTTGGCTAGCATAAGCACGTTAATTGGGGGACCCTAAAATCTTGGTATTTCGTTCCGGTTAAACTTGTCCACCCCTACCCTTTAATGTAGTACAACAATATTTATATTTATGCTTTTATATTGAGTGAGTGGGAGAATGCATGTGTAGATTAATGTATCTATTTGAACCAATTTGATCATGTTTTGTTATGTGACTTCTGCTGCTTTGCTCCATGATCGTTTTGTCTTAAAAAATAGCATCATTTCGGATCTAATCTTAACCAAAGCAACTGTCCCTAACCCTAATTTCAAAGAAAGAAATACAAAAAGAAATGTATATTCCTCTTCGCCCGGGACGAAATACCAAGATTTCGGGAAACAAGAGGCCCTATTTTATTGACAACCAAGACAGTGACATAAAGTAAAGTAAGCAAAACTAATATAATGTCTAAAAAGTGTAAATACAAATCATTTGGACTATTTATTCACTGTAGGTATTCTCAAGATATGTACGTGCTGCCATATATGTGAATAATATGTATTTCATGTTTAGTTATTTGATGATGTCTCTCTTACCTTCTGTGTGAAGCATAGTTCCCAGTCACATGACCAGATCCATCACAACCAGGTGTTGGGCACCTGCAGGTTGAGAGACACAGAGACCAGGTGCATTTTACAGCAGACTGCAATGTTGTGTGAGGTAAATACACATCATGCATAATGTATAGTAAAAGGAAAGGTGAGGGAAGGGAGGCTTTAGCCAGGGCTGAAGTAGATGGGTATGAAAAACAAACGCACTTTAGTTCCTGAGAGTTGGCTGCCATCAGTGATTTGAGAGTTTTGTCAGCCAGGGGACATCCAGACACACTAGAGAGGATAAAGAGCTCACAGTCAGTTTGTGGCACTCTTTGATCACAACTGAATTATGGCATCTTAATACAATGACAAAAAGCATAATTATATAATAGTGAAAACACAGTGTTGTGTTGCCTTTGTGACAAGGCTTTTCACTCAGCTTTAATACAAATGACAGAGCTTACTATTTGAGCGTACAAGCTGCTTCAAACAGTAATAATCAACATAATTAAACAATCAGCATTGTTTTTCTTATCTGTATATCTGCTGCTGCTAATGAGGTGTAATTAATTACTCTACCTCCGATGTGAAGCATAATTCCCCGTCACGTGGCCACTGCCATCACAGCCTGGGGTTGGACAGCTGTATCAGAACAAATACACGTTATTAGACAATTTATTCAACTAACCACACTTTTTAAGCTTTTACAAAATCACCCATTTATTGCTTAATATTGTCAATGGTGTGATTCAGTTAGTACAGCAGGAAATTTAGTAAAACATTTTGACTGAATGCCTTCTCCTTAAATCTCTTTTGAGGATTTTCTCTGTTGGAGGAAGTGGAACTAGGCTTTTCTATGTTATGGTGTCATTCTGGAGAGGAGTTCCAGTAGAGCATGCACTCTAACTACAAGAGTCAAGGTTTGTAAGCTTGTACAGGACATACGGGGGGAAAACTCACTTTTAAAAAGAAACAATTCTCCTCCACAAGAACCTGCAGACATATTAGTTACATTACGGGATACTTCAGTTTCACTTATACTGTCTTGTCATTTTCTTTGTAAGAACACACACCATCTGTCAAAAAAGCCCTCTGAAAAGCAAACTCATTATGTACAGCTGACTGCATCACGAAGCCCGCTTGGTCCTCCCCCTCCTTGTGACCCCAGTGTGGGTGAGACCTACCTCAGCAGCTCTTTCTTCACGTCTCTTAACAGCAGCTTGGCTTTGGCGCTCAACAGGCCATCTCCCTGGTAGTGCTGCTCCTCCAGAGAGACATGATCAAAATCCTCCTGCACCCGAAGAGCAAATGCAATGACTTTCACGTATTAAACTGGACAAATGACCTAAAAGTGAATAATTAACGAAAAGCCTTGTTTAATACTCTTAGCACAAAGGTTTAGGGTTAGAGAGCAAAGTACAGAGATTATGCTTAAGAATACATATACAGCTATATATATGCATTTAAAGTCATACTTAATCCACATACATGGATTTCTTTTGTAAGATTTGGAAGTCAGCAGATGTTGCACTGATAATCAGTTTGAGTGTGATACATTTTTATCAGAATGATGAACTAAAAAGCTTTTCTAACAAAAAAAATACTTTTAAAGTCTATCTAAACCAAATATAAACTATGATAATTGGGCAGTTGTCCACAACTATTAAAAGTGGTTTGAGCGCCCTCAAAACAGCACTCAAGAACAAACAATTATTCCAAATCCTTCTAAGCTTTGTTACCAAAAGCACTGACAGCTTTTTCTCACACATTTAACACAACTGATCACTTTTCACTGCATTTTAACAGCACAATAGTGTCTTTGTTTTCTGTCATTGCATAAGGCATGGCTCTTGTTTTTTTGTGCACCTCGTCTTGCAGAATGTGAGGTTTGCTGAAGTTGACTGGAAAGTGGCTCTCCCAGCTGTCTCGTTCACACAGTGGTTTGTAGAACGCCGGGCTGATGAGCATGCTTCCACCCTTGACCATCGCAGCGTTCAGAGGAGATGGCAGCTCTTCAGGAGGCTGCTTCATTGGAGCCTTTGGGTGCTCCTTGCTTTTTTTCATGCTCAAGTCCAAGGTGCCGTTCTCGTCCACCTCTATGGGCATCTCCTGAACAATGTTAGGTAAGATGTCAGTCAAATGGCAGAATATTACACTTGGAAACACAAGACTTTGGTTGATATGACTTCATGTTCGATCTTCATGTATGATTGTCATGTGGTACAATGTCTGCCAACAGTATACTTTTACTATACTGTTATTATTATTTCTACATTATTACATTACTACACATTCTATTCATCTGATAATTCTGTATCGATAATTCACTTTACCTGCTGCTATTATCACTATTACTATTGTTTATTGTTCATTCTGGTCATATTCTATGCTGCTAAAGTACTATATAAACATCTGTGAATACCACTTAATGTTGCTAACTACAGTGTGTATTCCAAAAAGGACTTATCCTTTAACCAAATGCAATTATATCTCCAGAATTGTTTTATTATTTTATTATCTATAATCTTAAATAATAGATCCTGTTTGATGTGTGTTTTTATTCTATCCTTTTATTCTGCTGTAATGTGCGTAAAAATTTCCCTACTGAGGGACGAATAACGGTCTTATCTTTTAGTCTGAAGCTGACAGAAATGTTTCAGTGGATCTAAACTTTATGTGGATAGGACAAACTTGAGACATAAAAAAACACAAAAATGAAATGAGAAAGAACATTGGCTTTGGTAACTGTTACAAAATGATAATGGAAGTCGGGGTGTCACAAGTTAATCAATTAATCGCAGCTAATGGATTATTAAAATAAAGTGGTTATCGAATGATCAGTTTTTGAACAAGCACTTTAAAGTGCAAGGCATTAATATTTATTATGACCCACACACAGACAGAAGCATGCTGTAATTATGAAGAGGTTTTATGACTCAAATAGAGAGATAATTCATGCAGATTGACATTTAATTGTGTTAAAAACTAAATTTGAATCAAACAAACAACTGGTCTCTATGAAGCTGTTCTTGAGTATATTTCAAGAATATTCACTTGCCTTTTGTGGTTAAAACAACTTTTAATTGAGTAATCAAAATAATAACTGAGAATCTACAGGCTATTCATCATCAAAATAATTAAAGGGAATATGAATTTATTACCAAATGAACTTTCTCTATAAAACTGGGGGATGTTTCAGTCTACGTATTTCCTAATGTATGTAGTTCAAGAATATTGATGTCCTTGAAAAATGTTTCCAGACAAATTACCAATCTACTTTGACTGAATACAAAAAGTAATAATCACTGGTGGATGTTTTCTCGGTGACAGCTGTGTCATCTATTTTCTAGGACACACAACCAAGATGGCAGCTGGGGGTGGGTTTGGTTGATTTTAGGTCATCATTATCATAGAAAAAATTAAAAGCTTAATGCGGCATCGTTTTGCTGGATGATAGATATGTCTGTCATTTAGTGCTGAGTTGCAAAAGGGGCATGACTTATGGCTTGTTTATGGCATTAAAGGTTTCAGCTCGTTAATGCCGGAATCCGGTTGGTGAATGAAACAAGTTATTAACCGCATATGTTTTATTAAGACCCTACACATAATTATTTTTGCAACAAAGGGCAGTGTCTCAAATTAATTAAAAGGTATAATTTTCATGGATGTTGGATGTGGCTGTCCACTTTAATTACCCTGCTATTTGATGATGTGTCTACCTCATCAAAACAGGAGAAAGGAAAACTGAATGACATTTTTGTTAACTTTAATTATGTTCTAAGGACTAAGCAATGTTATTCAATGTATTTTCCTATTATTCTATGGTTTGTGGCATTTTTCTGTTTGCAATTTTCAACGTTTGTCGAATTATGTTTAAAATGTGCTGGTAAGTTATATGATGCTTTCAGATGTCAACCTGTCTTTATTTTCTACATCTTTCTAAGACAACTAAGCTTCAAATGCGAATAGATGATTAACTTGCTCACACTGTTTTATTCATTCAGTGGGTTGGTACCTGGGACAGGGCCACTTTCTCATCTCAACAAGCTGGGAGACAACAATCTGTGCTGTGTAGGTGTGGAAACCTTGAATCATCTACAGTACAGCGTGCATGTGTATGTCACCCACAAGCCGCACATAAGTCTAATCAGAAAGACTTCAGGACAGTTTAAAAAAGGCAAAGCACAGATTGAACTTTAGGCGTCTCATTTAAAAGTCTGGCTCCATCTCTCAAAATGCTTGTAGACACACACCATTCTGGCTCCTTAAACTAAGCAAAATATCCTCAGCCATCTGCAGTGTTTTTAGTCAACAGTTCAGGCTTTTACATGCCAGATGATGTCAAAACAAAATACAATGCCACATGTTTAAAAAGACAAGGACATGTAATTAGAAAGTAAGGCTAATTGTTTTGCATCTTCAGATGTGATTACACAAATGTCGATTTGAGTAAATTAAAGCTTTAAAGTCTGAAAACCTGCTTGTATTTCTGCCACCCGAGTGGCAGGTTCCTGTTGCCAAATCCAGTCTTTTGATGCCATCCCTTTTTATACACAAATCAGAGTTCTTTTAAAATGACCACATTAAATACATTTCCAAGTGGTCTAATTTGATTACCTTTGTGGATGTTGCCAAAGGCCGGTCTGTGACGACCTCCATGTTCTTCCTGTAGCGAGTAGAGAGGTTCAGGATAGCGGCCGTCGCAGCGGCTGTCTGGAGACTCTCTTCTTTTTTGAATTGACTTGGTGGGCTGTGCTGGCCTGAGTGTGGCAGATGACCTGACACATCAAGGAAGCCAGTATACTGCTGAGGGGCTAACGGACAAATCATCCTTTCATTAGTTATGGGGGAATGTACTGGAGAAACTACTTTTATGTAAAGTAGCTTCAAAAATGTTAAGACAAAGTTATTTGTTAAGTAATTCTTATTGTAAACTCACATTCAGGGAAATGTGCAATTTCTTGCTCTTGGTTACTCCCCATCAGTGGCTGTTTGCCGAAGACCTGTGCATCAAAGCTGGCGTAATCAAAGCGGATTCTGCTATACTTGTCCATTTCTTTCGTTAGGCTTGTTTGCAAGGCTGCTACTGGATGAGAGAGCCTGTAGTTTAACTGGTTCATCTCAAACTTCCTTATCAAACCAATGGCTCTGAAAGAAAACAACAATATAATTGTGTTAAACTATATGACTCGTAATGACCGGGCCAAGTTTAATGAGTTAAGTGCAAACATTGTTTTTAAAGCATCAAAGCTTGCCAAGGCTTATGCACGTAGTCTGGGATCTGATGTGTGGTGTAGATCCACAGCCAGGTTGCCAGACTAATTAATATAGTAGGAGTGGGCATACTGCCCATGATATATCCACCGGGAACAAAGAGTTCTGCTCTTTTATCATCTCTAATAGAGAGAAACTCACAGGGCTCGCTACCATTGCTTGTGTCTACTTGGCTTGAAAAAAAAACATTGCTTTCTGTTGTTGAGTGTCCATTTAAAAACATATTTCTTTCAAAACAATCGTTTTATTTGACCCTGTGCACAATTTGGAACTTCAGGAACATTAAATGCAATCATATGAATGACAGTCAGTGATCATGTCAGTGAATTACCTGGGTGAACGGTCGGGTGTCTGTCTGTTTTTCAGACTCTCTTCTTGAGGTTTGGAGACTTTGACAGCGGCAGCGATGGGGCAGCCTGACAGACTGTGAAGGACACAGTAATTACTTCAATACTGTAAGTATATGACCAGTTCTGCCTAATGGCTTTGTGTTGTTCGGACCATACCTCCGATGGGTGCTACGATTGCTGTTCACGTGGCCTCTCCCTGTGCATCCGGGTGTAGGACACTTTAGGACATTCTCGTGCATGGCTAGGACTGAAGGAAAAATAGCATTTACCAGTGAGTCAGTTAAGATTAAAAACAAGAAGCTGATCTTTCAAAGTAAACCATTAACAACAATTTAAATGTGATGTATGTAACTAGTGCATATGGAGCGCACAATCCTTCATGGACACAAGAAAAAGCCTTTTTTATTGTAAGACGCACAGAAATGTAAATAGCTTAGTGCAAGGAGGGGCGTAACAAGACAGCTGATTATATTCTTCAAAACAGCACGTCGTTAAAGGTCCACGCAGTATCCTTAGAAACTTCCCGTCTGTACATATTCTCCAATTAGTTTGTTAGAGTTGTCTATTTATTTTTGAATACTGCGTTAGCTAGCCCTTTGATTTGCAAATACCGCCAGTCTGAGAGCATGCGCCTTTTTGAGAAAAAAAAAGTTAATTACTTTTTCTGTTCCTTTTGTAACAGTACTGTTTAATGTTGAATGTTTGTGGAGTTATATTGAAATGACTTAACAATCACCAGAGTGAAAAAGAAGTCACTCTGAACAAAATGCAACACATTAAAACAGAAAGAGAGGGAAAAGTTTATACACATCAATTAAAGGCGATGTATAGTAGTGTAAAGCTTTTTGCTAAGAGGATTTAGTGCGGAGCTTCATTATAAATTCAGAAAGTGACAGTTTCTGAATACGAGACAAACACACACACGCTCGGCTCTTACTTTCTGGTGGGACTCTGACTTTGTGTGGGCATCCAGATAGACTTCTGTGATGTGGGTACAAGCCAGTCACATGACCTGTGCCGTCGCAGCCTGGAGTCGGGCACTTGATGTCCCTTTTTTCAGGTCGTGGCGAATCTGACAGGAAGAAAAATGTGTCACTTTTTTATCTAGATAATTAAGCTCAATATTGAATAATTTGTATTTATGGTGCGCATTTCACAGGCAGTATAAAGTCACAAAGCAATTTTAGATTATGGTAATGTTTCGATTTGGATGCGGGTCACCTGAACACATGCTGGCCCCATCTGACGCCCATCCATTCAGCCACCACACTCATTCATACTCTCATACCATATACATGTCTCTTTACTTATTTTATTTGAATGTCTACTAATCTGCTATTTTAGTTAAGACTACTGTACAACACAAAGCATACACTTCCTAATGACATATCCATGTAAGATTACATTGCGGATTACACATTGAGCTGCAGTTATTTGAAGAAGTATTTTAGGAGGATTTAAGACTTACAGTAAAGGTTAAATATCATCCTAACATCAGTACATTTTGTTATTATTTTAGTCTGCGTTTAGTCATTTTTAGTTGCCAAAAGTGATTTTGAGTTTTAAGAGGATTTGTATTCCTTTTTGCTTTATTGATTTCTTTTATGATGTGTTACCTTTGCCTGTGTGGTAGCCAAGTCTCTCCAGGTCAATCATTCTTTGGTGTCGTCTCTCATTGGTCATCTGCTCCAAGAGGAAGCGGTCCATTTCCCTGTAGGCGTGGTGCAGCACTTGCCGCTGCTCTGTTTGCAAAGCTATAGCCTGTTCTAACAGGCTGAAGTTCACCCTGCCCCCTCTCATTTCCAGAGCCTTCTCATGAAAACCCAGAGCCCAGCCGTCCAGTCGGCCCGGCCTGTCCGCATCTGTTTCCCCCTCACTGTCCCCCTCCTCTGTAGGCTGAGGCCTGTATAAGCTTGGCTCTTCTCTCAGAAGACCATTTCTCTGCAAAAGTTCCTCAGACAGTCTTGATGGGCTGGAGCCGTTGAGCTTGGCAGACAGTGCATAAGGGTCCCACTCAGATTCTTGCATGTCTCTGTACGGGGAATGTGGGGACGAGGCACCACTCATCCTTTCTTCATTTTGGTCTTCATTTTTATTGAGCTCATTTTCTTCTGTCGTGGCCTTTTCACTAGATTCTTCGTCACATTGGGGCGAGGCATCAGAGGGCACCTCAGACCACTCCAGCAAATCTCTGTTGTGACAGCCGTTTCTTAAGTTTCCATCTGGAACAACAAGACAACATTATTGCAACATATTACTTGCATATTACATATGGCCAGACATCCTTTTAAATAACAATTGTTTGTCTGGTGTAATCTTTTAATCCTTTTAGGGATTTAGAATGTGTTACTTTCATACAATTTTTGATAAAAACATGTTTTGAAAAACATTTATGTGATTTAGACACGGCAAAAAATCACAATCATAAGAAAAAGCAGATGCAATATTCTTAAGCAGTTCTTAAAATATATTGCAGCACACACATACTTAAATACACCTAAATGTTGTACTTGGACATAGAATCACTAGATGAGACACACATTGTTGACTCCGTCATGGAGGAGATTATACATGGATTTACATGGCTGTCAAATATCAGTTATGAGTTATTATAAATATTTTCAAGAAGAAACATCTATCAACAACACGTGACATAATTGTTTCAATAAGTCGAGATGCAAAATCCTCTAAGTAAGATTATCAGTTTACTCCTACATGTTACAATATTGCTTTTTGGTGATTACATGTTGATAATGTATGTGGTTAAATTGCAATTTAGTCACGGGGGAACAGGCTTGAGTTTCAGTATTCATAGTATAGATATGTTAAAAGATTGACATTAGTAAATATTAAAAAGGCATTCATTTTAAACATTTAGCAGTGGCTTTCTTTTTAGCAGTGCTCTCTTTTCTGTGTAAAGTATTAATCCATAAATTCAGGTCACATGTTAAGAAAGCTTTACAGTGAAAGTCTGGCTCATGTCCTGACGTCTGGGCAGAGCAGACAAAGAGGGTTACTATGATCCTCAAATGCATCCACCACAACACTCTATTAACACCACTGATTATGGTAAGTCTTGGTCAGTGATTAACAATGGAAGCCAAGGCTATCATCTGGATTGATTCAAACAAATCTCCCTTGATCCTTCCAAACCAGTCAAACTTGCGCTCTATTAAGGCTATTAGACTCAGGAGATTTTTACTTTTTGTGGGCTAGACCTATTGGCCCCTATCCTCTTACTGTATATAGCTGTTGTTAGCAAAAGTAGGATTCAACAGCTTATAAAAACACAGAGATGGATTATATGAATTATATTAAGTGATTTTCAGATAAAATAGTGAATTCTATTTTGACTAAAGTGGATTGAATACTACTGATCATAGAACACCTATATTATAACTGGAATGTGGCACCATGGAAATAAGTTGCAGCAGAAATAAAATGCATTTTTAAAACAGAGTAAAATTACTGATATGTTTTTTAGATATAACTTACAATGTAGCTATTTATGTTAGTTATTAATTCATAGATTTATGTATTTATCAGTCAGGTTTTAATTGTACATAACATACCTTTAGCATTACTAAAACAGAGTAAAATGACTTATATTTAGTTATTTAATCATTTGTCACTTTTATTTGAACATAAAATACCTTATTTCTCATACGATACTCTATATTTTTTCACTTTTTTAATATTTATCGCTAGGGTAAATTTTTCTGTTTTTTGCACATTTCCTATGGTTTTTGCACTACCTGAGTGATCCTATTTATGCCAAATGTGACATGTATATTTCTCCATTGTGAGATCTATAACGTTGTGTTTTCATCTTATCTTATTTAAAAAGTAAAGGACAGTTTTTTTCCTGAATGTAGAAAACGAAATGATGCAGTTACACATATTTACAAGGATTTTGTCTGAGGTCCAGATGGGCTGCAGGCCTGACACCGGCGCGTACAGTCAGACAAACACAAAGACAAATAACCGTGCACAAGTGTAGTGAAAAGAGAAACGAGACACAGGAGGAAAAAAAAAAACTTGGAACCCTGCGGTGGTCTGCATGTTGGAACAGGTGAACAGTTTGTACTCCAGAATAGCCATTACCAGCACTCTGCAGCAGGCCTGGAGTTGGCTGGAGTTGAACACAGTGTGGCTCGACCAAACGAGAGGCTTATTTTTCTCCCTTTTTGTTAAAATGCAGATATGACTCGCTCCCCACTCGCTAAATCCTTACTGCCACCAGCCCACTTTTCCAATTTTTGGTGTTTTTACAGAAAATAACTCCCGCATCTGACAATGGCAGCAAATTGTTTTGAAAATGTTTAGCAATATCTGTGCTCATTTGACACTCCTCAGACTTTGTAAATACTGTTTTGTTTCAAAGCTGGTTTTTGCAGAATTGTATGGGCCTGAAGATATTCAGCCAGTGTTGGATGACAAAAAGAAAGAGGGAATAAAGGAAATATTGGAAACATTGCAACAAAAGAAAATTGTTGATGGACGGTAGATTATTTAGATAATTGTAATGTAATATGAATAGAGGAAACTAATACATTCCATTTTGAACGAATCCACACAACTCAGTGAGCTACTCTCCTGGACCATTTAACTACACACATGTGTACTATAATGAGCAGTAGACATTATGCCTAATTATGTATTAGACTGTGTTAGAGGGCCTAACAAAAGCTTTTGAAAGGGACAATTACGTTTGTTGCTTAGTTACATCGTTAAAAATATCAAATCAGAACAGATTATAGTGGGTGAGAATGTACATGCACTCCAGTAGCGCTGCTCCCAAAATACACAAAACTTAATTTGTAAAAAAATACAAATAAAATTATAAGAATTGTTTAATTAACTTTAGCGAGAATAACCCTTAGTAAGTAGTTTTTTTCTTTCACTGTTGGCTCATTTGGTTTTTGAAAAGGTAAGAAAATGTGTTGAAACAATTAGTTATAACAATCAATTGAAACAAAGCGCTTCTGTTTATCATTGTATGGATTCAATCGCTCTGGACAAGCAAATGAAAAACGGGCAGATGAGGGGGTCTAAAAAGCTGGCCTCATCAAATAAGGGTTAAACCACGCCAAAAATATCACGGTGGATCAGCTGTCAAAACTTCAATTTGTCGACGTGAGACACAACTAATGCAGACCCAGCAGTGTAGTCTTTCACTTCCACTGCACAATGACTGCGGCTGCTGGCTGATGGCAGAGGGAGGGAAATATGAATGCAACAGATGGGATTTTAAAATTCAGCGTCAATTGTTCATCAAAACAGACAAAACAACAGGACATCTGTTTACCTGCTGGAGTGTCAGTGTTCCTCAGCTCGTCTTTGTCCCGCGGAGCTGCCAGGTCCTCGCTCTCCTCTTCACAGGCCTCGGTGGGGCTGTAGTGGCGAGGCTTCATCAGCAGAGACTTTCTCTTGTTGACGGGGGCACCCTGCACCCCATCCTGAGCACTCCTCTTTCGAGCCGCTGTCCCATATGGGCTGGAGAGGGTAGACGGAAGTGCAGCAGGGTCAAACAAAGTATCACTGGCTCTGTTTTAGATTTAAAGCTATAATGTAATGACTGTGGTATAAATATACTTTTTTAGTTTTTTTTTTACCTGTGATTCTCAGATGTGCTGTCAACTGGGCCTGGTAAAATAAATGATAAAGAAAATTTGATAATTAGTTAATCTTTTTACATTATACTTAGTCATATCTAATTATAGGATCTAATTTAATGTAGGTGAATGAGTGATTAAAAAAAGTAAAATTCAAGTCCTTAATAAGATAAACCTTATTGATCTCACAATAGAGAAATTTAGATGTGGAACACTCAGGGTGTGCAAAAGACAGGAAGTGTGTTAAAAAGTTAAAAAGATGCAAGGTATATTATGTACAATTAAAATTAAAAGTGACTACAGCAATGTGTGTTTAATGTAGAAATTTAAATAATACATTAGAATGAACTTTGACAAATACAGAAATAAAACAAGCATACGCGCATACACACACATACACACACATACACAAACTCTTATACACACACACACACACAAACACACACACACATACACACACAAGAAAAACAACAAAGAGTTGATATTAAACTACAGATAATGCTTATGCGTCCTCCATTTAATAATAATAGTTTTGTGGTTGGAATAATAACTGCAAGGACATAGAAGTGCTGTTGTCATTGATACAACAACACAGTCAGGTCCCTCATTCACTCTGAGCTCATTCTTTGATAGTAACATAATACCAAAGGCTAAATCAATTTTCTCAATAGACCTGTGTAAATCTCATTCACAAGTTCAGTCCCATACTCTCATGAAGCACGACCAACAATCACAATTTTCTCCCCATGCTGTAATAGAGCTGGCCTGCATGGCAAACTCTGCACACTTGCATAATGGCAGCCCCACTCTAGGTTTTTTTTCCAATCATAAATACGTATGTCCATAATGCTTAAATAATTTGAGGTACTCTTCCCGTGTAATGAAGTTATTCCCCGCTGAATAATGAAATGGCAGTACAGTGCACTTCAGTCCACATGGATAACGCATCTATTTTACTGTTCTGAAGTCCAATTGTTGAACTAATAGCCCTAAAGTCGATGGGTAGAATATGCAAAATATCAATATTTCGAGCTGTACTTACCTGTGTTATTATTGCACGTGTTTAATGTCTGTTCCTCACTGTCAGAAGAATCCATCTGGAGAAAGAAATCCATTTGCATTGCTTTTAAATTATGACTGTATATATTATCATTTGTCTGTTAGCCTCTCTTCTCCTTAATGCAGCAATATATTTATGTACATACACGCTCATAAACTAAACAGTAATGCATTCTTTTCATTTCAAACACTTATTTACATGAGATATATTATACACACACGCCTGGGTTAAAATAAAGAACGATTTGTTTTCAACTGTATTATTTTACGCTTTGGATATATTATGATTGCAGTAAATAGTAGCAACAAAACACCTTTCGAGCACCTCCATTTTTTTGTCCAGAGCCCTGAAATTTGTTTTTATGTCAACATCACAAAGAGCTACTAAAAACCCAGTAATATGTAAACACATAGAGTATTATGTTTGGTAAAAAGTTTGAAAGGTGAGTGAAAACGTAATGACACTAAATAATGGTAGCAAAGTACCAACAGCACCTCTCTCTGTGTGTTTAGACAAAAATAGTTGCTAAAATCCAACCACTCTCGCTGGCTGTTGCTTGTGGCTCCCAAATAAAACCTATTAAACATAATTATTCCAGGCTGATGGTGGCGTATAGTGGTCACAGGCCAGTGAAATCTGTGAGTCATAGGATATGCTGTTACTTTTCCCTGGTAATGGGAAACATGACTCCTCTCTCTCGTTTGCTGTTGTGATTGAAGGCACTGACCTGTCATACATTTATAATAGGGGAGCAGGTGTGGCAGTGATGGACCTTAATTTCCTTTAATAAACCTTTTATGTGGCACACTCTTAATGCCACGCCGGGCCCTCAGAGGTCCTGCTCATAATAGGTTCATTACTTTTGATTACTACAGCCTATTGAGACAAACAACTCCCCAACACTATAGATTACATTTTGTTCAAACCAATGTACCTCATTAGTTTTGAACAGTTTTCCCCCATTTTCCTTTTCCTCTTCTGTTTTTATTATCTAAGGCAAAATGTTCTTTGCACGTCTCCTCGACTAGTGACTTCGACACGGACATTTATCAAAGTTCAAATGATGTTATCACTGCTGCTAAATATCAACAATGACTCACCCGCAATAATTACCCAGACTTTTTCAATTTGACATTTCAAAAGCTCATACACTTCTTATAGTTGATTTGCCGTTCAAGTAAAATAAACAAACGCATCCCTGATTATTTATTCATTTTACGATAATACCTTCGATGTTTTGAATCTGTTCAGATGGAGACAAAAGACACAAAGACTTCGCCTTGTATGGCAACATGCGCAAACATGTGACGCGTCGTATTTACAAAGGAAAAACAAATAGACACATTTAGAGTCAAGCCACAAGGGGATATTTCAGTGGCAGTCGCATTTACGCCCATTACGGCTTCTACAAACCCATGTTAAATAAAATGAATTAATCCTTGCAATTTATACAACCTGTTATGTAAACTTAAACATAAAACTAGCCTAAGGCATAAGCAAGCTTAAAACCAAAGGCAGTTATCTATTTAGAGCAAGCGAGCAAACATTTTAAAGCATGTATTATCTTCATACCACCCACAGCTTTGCATAAGTCAGACCAATCTCAGTTTATGATCGGTCAAAGAGGCAGCATCACTACACCACTTAGCATTCTACTTATCCAAAACAGTGTTGCACAACCTTTTTATCCTCAGACTCCATATAGTGTCCAACTTTATGTAAAGCCTTGTGGAGAGTGTTACCTTCGCCTGTTGGTTCACAAGCTCTATGTGGGATGAGACGCCAGATCCCCCCTGTTCACGATGGTTGATGCTTACACACTTTGGGTTGCTGGAGAAGCGATCATGCGGTTTGCTTTCTGGAAAACCAAAAATAAACATTTTAAATATATGTTAATGTCAGACATATGTTGCACCTCTTTTTGGCCATCAACGTGCTCAATCTACTCATATTGACACTTCTACAAACTTTTATGGGTTTAGAAAAAAAATCAGTTAAAAGAGTTAAGTGGATGTCTTTCTAACAATACAGTTTTTATTACGCACCATATGGCCACTGGGTAAGTCAATCCTTTTATGAAAGTCAGTCACTTCAGTCCTTGGGCCCACCTGCCTGTTTTTTATTACCCTTGTCACTTGGTCAAATTTAAGCTGATACGGTTGTTGTATTGATTTTAGGAATATAAGGGTGGAAAAAAGGCTCCATACATCCTTAATTGGAATAGGTCACATAATGTAAATTGATTGCTTGACAGAGATTAAATTGCTTGCTTCAAATTAATACAAGGCATCTAAAGAGGCAAACAAGGCCATAGACAATGACTACATTAAGCCTCTTCACTTCATAGATCTTATTATGGAATTACATATTTCTGTTCGCTTTGAAAAACAACATAATCTTAATTATAGCTCACAGTAGTTTTTCCCCCTGAAAAGCAAAACTAGGAGGAAAGGGGAGGGGCAGAAGGGGGGTGGGGGGGAGTTGTAGCAGGGAGGGCATTCACTCATTTTGATTAGCATATGAAAAAAGACTACTATTTGAGCTGGTTCGTCATCTGCTGAATCATATTTATGCATCTCCCCCTCCTCTTGCGCACTAGTCCAAGACAAATACGACTCTTTCCCCTCTTTCGTCTAGAGGGGAGACGTCTCTTGGGGGGACCAAAAGCCTGACGCCGTGGCTCCATGAGATTTTAGTATGTGTTAATCTGGCTGCTAGCTGTCCTTGAGCAAGCCCCGGTTTCCCCCTTAACCCCATCTGCTAGCATTCCCACCACAGTGCGCAGAGAATGGGCTGCCACTAAGGGGAGGGGTGGCTGCCTTTCCCTAGTCCGAGCAATCATGAATAACCATCATCTAGTCACCATTATCACAAGGCTGGACTCTGCAGAGATAAAGAGGGGAGAGAATACGTGTAAAATACTCTTCAGATAGAGCCACTCTTACTTGTAAGTGATGGTGCAGTTGTTATTATTTCTTGTAATAATGCCTTATTAATACCGTGCAGCTGTCTTGGATATTCATCACTGACCTTGAGGCTTTGTGTCCCGGAGTCGCCCGCTTATCCGTGCACTTGGGATTCTCCCGTGTAATTAACATAGACATAAACTCTCTGATACCTCATCTTCAAACCAATAAAGCAAGTCTGCCAGTAAGCAAAGTAAGTATTCTTGAGAGCATAAAATTAATTACATTATTTACATTTCCTTTTAGATAGGGGGTAAGGGTGGCGCTGGTGGAGGGGATGGGGGGTCCAGGCGAAATGATAGAGGCAAATGAGATTACACAAAATAAGATTTGAAAATGTCAGAGCTGCACACTCCAACCAACCAACTGTTATGATTAGATTACTCTTTTAATATAATTACCGTCTAAGGCTGTGTGTGGAAACAATGCGTACATAAAAAACCCACTGATTTGCCATTCTTTTTCTGCGCAAGCCGCTCTCTCTTAACCTTTCTTCAACAGTATCATTTTGAATTATAGGAAACGCATGGGTGCTTCGTGCAAGGTCACTGTCTGGTGTGTGTTGTATACTCGCCCCCACCCGTCCGGGACGCCCCCACTCGTCCGCCCCTTCTCTTGTTGTCTTGTTGTTTTTTTCCCCCCTTCTCCTTCTAGTAGCGCATCGAGCGAAGGGGTTAAAACTGGAATGGATTTAATTATGGAATGAATGGAATTATAATGCGCCTGCAGCAAGTTTTCCTCCTTATTTATTAAAGCAGCTGATGGGCCAGGTTTGATGAGCCACTTCTGGCATAATTGAGTCATCACACAAAGAGGGTTCCTCGCATTCAGAGTGGTTTTATCAGCAGCAAACAGACCTGATTACTGGCAATTACACTCTGATCTAGGGGAAGGAGAAAAAAGGGTAAATGTGCGGGGTAACTTCTGTGTTTATAGTTTACCCCGGGAATAATTTTCACATTAATTTTACATGCTAAGTGTTTTCTGTTTATGTATAATAAAGAGAAAAAACAGCCAGCGATAGCACCTTTGACTTTCATACTGCCTTGTAATGAAGGATATAGAAAGAGATCGCAATTTAGCCTATGGGGAAGTTTGTAGAATAAGCTCAGCAAGGGAGAGAAAAAAAAGCTTGGTGCTGCAGTGAAAGGTGAGCTGGCAGAAACATACCTGCTTTCAGTTTAAAAGTAAAAGGAAGATTGCTTTTGCCAAATGTTATTGAGATGCAAATGGATCCATGGTGTGCTATACTCACATTAAAATTAACTCAACAAAGTATTTAGATAAACAACTTTTCTGTTTTTGGTAGTTTTGTTAGTTTGCCAGGGAGCCATCAAAAGCCTAAATTCCAGCTGGACCCGACTAAAAAAGCTTTATTTCAGGAATTGGAGAGAACAGGCAGAACTATTTTTTATCTGATTTTTTCCCCAAGAGGTTTCTAAGTTTGCCTTTATAACACAGCTCTCTTAAGTTAGAGAATTAGTCCGTATTATGTTCACCATCTATTTCTAGTGCTAACATTAATTGATTCTTTTGCCAAATCCCAGTGGCGCTTGCCTTTTAAATTGCATAAAGAGTTTCTTCACTCCTACCATATGTTGTATTAATAAGGAATGAAGTACTCAATGTATGCAACGAGAAACTCTTTGCATTTTCTGAGCATTCCTCCGTCTGACAGTGGATCTGGTTTCATGCAGGGAGTCAAAAATCTTGAAGTCAACTGCGATTTCAGATATAACAGCCTCACAGCTACCCTGACGGCCAAGCAAAGTGTTTGTGCCTTTTGCCAAAGAGTACTCTTATAGAGGAGCCGGATTGGCATCGTATCACTTCTCCAAGACAGAGATGCTTCAATAAAAGAACACAGCTCACTGAATTCTTAACAGACAATTAGGAGCCTGGCTAGCCGCTCTCGCTTCAATGATTTGTTGTGATGGCATAACTACAGGGGAAACTTGTTGTTGGAGGGAGTTCGCAAGAGTCCCATAAAACAGTCAGATGGTGACACCTTTGCCGAGGTGATTTATGAATCTTGTCATCGTTTTCCAAAGTCATCCCAAAGCCGTCCCTCTAAATTGAGTTCATCTGGAGCTAAACCACTCACACGTACCAAGTCCAGATTGTTTCTTCTAACATCAAAGGGACAATTTCTGTTTTTGACCAAATTTCTGATGCTTTTAGTTCCCTTATCAAATGAAAGGCAGTTAGAATTCTGCTATTTTATTTGCAAATTTCAACGTAATTATGATCGCCAAAATATTGAGACAAATAAAATGTGTATTTACTCCGACTACACCATGCATCAATGGAATAATAAATGGAGTGGCAGGAAATTTACGCTTTGGCAAGTGTCCAGTTTGCGCAAGCATACCGTTTTAGCTCGAAATTTTGAATGGTGTTACAAAAATGCTTTTTCAAATCTGCCTAATTTAGGGACAGGTGTTTGGGGAAAAAAAAGTTCTAGCCTTAGTGCAACAATGAGCAATGTAATCCTTGCTTATTGTTCCAACCCAAGGAGAGGCCTTTTCATAGAAGAGGTTGGCTGAATGCTACCAGGTGGTCTGCAATTTGGAGAAACGTAGTAACCGTTCCAGATAATCCCCCTCCTGCACTGGCACAAAAGGCAGGTCTCCGGTGCGGCTCCGAGGGGCTCTCCGGGGCAAAGGCAAAAGTTGATGGCGAGCACACAGCGTCTGAAAGGAGTCATGGGCTTGAGCAGTGATTCCTAATCAGATTGCGCCGAAGTGAACAGCCCGCATGGCAGCTGTAGTTTTCCCAGGGTTAATTACCTTTCACTGCTCTCTCTAAATGAGTCAGCTGTTCCTGTCATTAAACAAGTCCACTCTATCTCCTGTGTCCTCTACATGCACACATTTGAGAAGCACACCTTTGTTATATTGTTTACACATGCGTTCGGATCAGTATAGGCCATCAGACAATCATTATAACCTTTTGGATTCAGCTTTTATGTAACCTAGACGATATCGTTCAAGCATAAATATAAAAAACCCTTTATAATGAAGAAAATGCATATATTTTAGAATAAGATTATCTACACAAACACACACAAACAAACAAATAACAATAAAAAAATACCATTTAAAATAATATAACATTTTAATTATTATGTTTTTTTTGGAATAAAGGATGCTTAGATTTTTTTTTTTACAATGTACACTAAAAGATCTACTCAACAAATATAAGATGCGGCGCAATATAGAGACGTCCATCTTAACAACAATCTGTCTTAATTTCAACGTAAACAGCCGTAATGCCATCTATATGAAAATACACATATGCAGGAACATAGGCATTCAAACATACACACACACACACACACACACACACACACACACACACACACACACACACACACAAATATAGATATGCACTTGTGGGTCCAGCTCAGATCTATTTGTCTTGTCATCAATTCTGAACAATCTGTCTGCTTACCAAGCTCAATGGCTCAGGATACAGAGGGGGAGTTTAAGTGATTTTTGCCACTGTATGGTGAAATCCCTCGGCCACCTGGATTACAAACTCTAGTCCTTTAACTCATGCCAGTATGAATCCGTGTTAACTCGGATTTACCTCTGGCATATGAATTCTCAATCTGCGTTAAGCTTTGTTTGGAAGGATTCGAACATAAGTATTGCATGTGGTAAGGATGCCCACTGTTGAAGTCCTATTTGAGCGAAAAGTAGGTTGCTTGGAAGTCAGTTATTAGCCCAACTAAAGCCAAGGTGTGTTTTCTTCTCCTATTGAGAAAAAAAGAGAGCTCCTCCAGGTGGAAGTGCTCTGTGAAATCTACGTAGCCATGACGACGTGCATAAACTCTACGGTCAAGAGTTTAATCAGATTCCTAACACCAAGATTTTCGCTTTGCTTATTGTCTGATGAACATTATTTGCTCAGTTGTTCAAACAAACGGCCCCGTCTGCTTCCAAAGCTAGTGATCATGATAAAATAAAATATGGCACGAGCAGCCTGGAGGATCTAAATTAAGCATTAGCCAATATCCATACAATCTCTCTCACACACACACTTCTGCGCTAGTCAAGTTAAGCCAGTCTATTTTGTTCTTAAAAGGTTAGCAGGGCTGGTTTGTGAGTTTGATCCGTGCCTGCCAAATCAGCAGATGGTCCATGAATATGATTATATGCACCAATAAAAGGAGTAATCTTTAACAAAATGTAAATTTGACTTAAGTCCAAGGTTTAATATACGCAATGGACTTTAACCCACTTTCCAGCCTGACACTGGCGCATGATAAGCTAATGCACTCGCAAATTCTGTATTACTGCAACCTCTGTGTACTCCAATTCAAATAGATGAAAAAGGTCGGGAGAAAAGAAGCAGCTATAAGTGTGCTGAGGAGAGAAGCCAAATCCATTCACTTTGGAGAGAGTAAACAGCCCAGCAATCAATATGAACTAAGTATGGCAGCTAAACAAGATGCTTTCGGGTGCCATTGTAATATTTGTTCTTTTTTTGATAAATTACACTCACGGAATCAGCAACAATATCAAGCTTGTAATGTAAAAATACCCAGTTCTTGAGATCATTTTAAACTTCCAAGTACAAGACTGAAAAGTAACAGCGGAAAAAAAGTTTTGATCCGGTAGGCAAGATGCGCCTCGATCGCACTAGTGACCTATCTCTCTCAGGCTTACGGCAAATCATCAAACAGACACCAGCGCATCTCTCCGCTAACATGTCCGTCAAGGCAGAATCGCCGGCTCCACTTACCATGCCCTTATTAGCCTTTGTTTTGCGTCTCATGGTGACATCAGGGAGGAGACGGAGCAGAAGGATATCGAGGTGGCGTCCGAGCTAGTCCAAAGCCTTGCTGCTCACTCAGAGTGCGTCTGTGTAAGCAGGGACACTCTGATTTTCACCCAAAACGCTCAGCTTTTTTTTTTTTTAGCCTTTGTGTCATTCACTTAACAACCAATCTCATTAGCTGCTGAGCTACAATGGGCTGAATTATTTTTTTGTGTAAATACACCACATGGTGATCCTCAAGGTAAGATCTCAGAAGGTCTTATTAATTACATAAAAAAATAACCTGGATGTAAAAAAATATATAAAAGATTCAATGGGCAGTGTGAAGTGCAAGAGACATTTGTAAGGACTGAAATAAAACGGCTATTAAGAAGGGTTTTAATTGAGAAATGAGATTTATATTCCTTGGGGAGTGCAATAAAGAGAGTGCAAATGCGTAATTATAGAGTGTAATTAATATATACATGTAGCCTTGACTTGATCATGATACTATATGTAATTGGTAATTTGAGATTGAATAGGCTTCGGTCTAAATGAGACAAACATTGAAAGTGAGTTATTAATGCTTATACCAGATATACTTTATTTAATATCTTTGAAGCTGTGCTCATTATCTCACAGCGGTAAGTCCATGTAAATTGTAGCTATTGTAAGCACTTGAAGTCATGACAGCTGTCTATAAGCATCAGGGACATGTCTATTGGCCAACTTGACCCTTGTTAGAAAAACAAAACAAATAGAAAAAGGAGAATAGTGCGGCTTGGGACTAGCGAGCCGGGTCACTGGAGATTTTCCAGACAAACGCGGCTCGGGGGAGGGGAGGGGTAGAAGGGGGGGAAAGAATAAAAAGGACAGGCTCAGAATCTCATTTTAACAGACCGCACACAATCTGGGCTCCCACAGAACTATCTCTGCCTGACCGCTTTCTATTTAGCCCTTATCAGTGTTTACCAACCGCTAGTTTTCTTTCATTCATACTGTGAGGCAGTTCTCTTACTATCAGTCAACAGCTGACACCGTGGAACAGCCTCAAAGGCAAGAGGAAGGGATCAAAACTAAACCAAAGCTGTTTAAACAATACAACAGAGGAAATAAATTCATAAATCCTAATTCTTCCCAACCCACAAGGGTATAAGCAGATCCTTTATAGTTAGGCCAGCAAACACAACCGTAGCCAATGAGGTACACAGCAATCAAGGTAAATTCTGAAATATATTTAGAAAAAAAGAAAGGTGGGAAAAAAATCCCATGTTATATTAATTGGGAGCATTTCATAGTCGTGCCCTGTCAAGCTTACGTTACAGATTTAATAAAAGGCTTTCAGAGGAGGTTAATGCTTTAGCAAAATCCTACCTGAACATGTTTAAATCAAGCGAGAAATTAAGAGATAATATACACATTTTTACGTTCATCTAAGTCATTTGTTTATATTCGATTTTGTGCATAACTCAATATGTGATTGATTTAAAATATATTTTCAAATTTAGACATTGCACAGGCGTGCACTTATTACGAGTGGTTTAATTACTATTACTACCTGTTTTTATTTGTAAAAGTGTTCACATTTTCAACATATATTTTAGAATTATGTATTTGATCCATGGTTTTAACATTATGCTAATTATTTGAGATATGACTTAGATTACATTTTTTATGTTTTTCCTGCAGAAAATAAATAAACTATCAACACTATTGATTATATTTAGACACTTTTGGTACATAATATTTAGAACATTTTTCACCACTAATTATAAAATAATCTGTTTCGAGAAAACATGTTGTTGCTGTGTATAGACTTTTTTGTACAAAAGTTAAGTAATTAATTTAATTAAATGATCCTTTTGCCAGCTGTTTGACGGCAGATGGATCATTTGTGAAACCTTGCTAAATTAAATCCACATAATTCATTTCACCGGATTAACTAACTTTGCGTACAGAGATGAAACAGGTAAAGCGATGAGTAAAGATAAATTAAAATGTTTAGTTTAAAGACAAATTAAAATACCTGAAGTAAAATACTATTATACTATTAAATAACTTAATTTTAGTTTTTCTCAAGTCTCAACAGAGCGGCAAAGTTTTTTCCATCTTGTTCTTTTTTCCGCTGCACTGGGCAGCAGTACCATGGACAGTTCCCAGGGCCAGGTTACATTTATGTGTTGTGTAGCAACTAACGTCCCTTTGAACAGCAGGGCGGGGGTGGGGACGCATAAGAAATAATGTCCCTTACTTATCGCTGCTCCAGCACACAGCCCTTAATGTAGACACTGCTGCTTTTGTCGCTTGAACAAAGTCTAAGACCGTAACTTTACAGCGCCCCAATATTACTCCTTTTGTATCTAACAAAAGGCAAAATTTTATAGAAAGTGGTCGTTGTTTTGATTAAGGATCAGTATATGCGTTTAAAAACTTTAAAAACTATTCATCCTGAGGCCTTTGGCTAAAAAGTATAAACAGAAAAGCATTCAGTGATATTTTAACTCATTTCAGATAAAGGAGGAAAAGTAAATAAATAGATTTGAGCTAATAAAAAGTGACAAATACAGACCTTTAATCATATTCAAAAGTAACAGTCTACTCTTTCAGTTTCTTCTTAAGCCAATTAGATGCATTTTCAAAAAGCAGTTTGACATTTCAGAGTTTGACAAAGTTAGGGAAACTTTTTCTTACCGGCACAGGTCTTAATTTATTAGTTACTCCTGGAAACTTCTGACCTGCTGTTTCTGAACTTGTGCAATGTTTTCAAAATTAAGCTTGTCCACGAAGCACATTTCTAGTCTACCAAATAGTCGAGGTTACTACACATTTCAGATTTCGTTTCTAACTTTCACATTGATTCATCCCATTGCAAAAATAAATAACACCTGATATTTTAACATTTTCCCTCTCAACATTCACAGTTGTTTCTTTTTTTCTTTTTTTTAAATGTTCTATAGAAAGTTCAACCGGATTGCAGTAAAAGACTTGTACGACTCTTTAAATATATTGCTGGAACACAAAGTCACAGTTTAAGTGCATTAGGCTCAGTGCACTTGTATGTACAGCTGTCACTGTCAAACCCACAGGCAACCTGACAACGCTTTGTCTCAACACACAATACAAACATGTGTTCTTCTAAGACAAGCTTAGACTGCACACAAATACTGTGAATATAATCTAGGTAGGCAGTCTCATGCTATCTGGATGATCAAAAATAGGTCATGCCTTTCACAAAACAGTTCGAGCCATTTAATCTCCTTTCAAGCTGTCTGGAACCTGGGCAGAAGCTACAATCACTGTCCAGCAAACAGTTCAAAAATAGTAGTAAATCTAAAAAAGTACATACAAAATCTCCTGTTTCTGCTCCAATTCTGGTAAAATCTTGTCTCAACTTTAACAGCAAATAAGTCCCATGGTAAATGTAAACTTTTTACTACTTTACCTTTTCCTATTTTGTTAGTAGCATTAGAACATGACAGCATCTAGTAGCGTTAGCTGAAATCCTTGTCATTCACACCGGCAACCGTATTATTGGCGATAAACGCTGACCAAACTGACAGTGTATTAAATAAAAAGAACTATGACACCAACCTAGTGCTGTGATCCAAAAGTTTGATTTTCCCCCAGTCTCTTGATAGCTGAGCTGGTGCTGTGGCTATGAAAGGTAGTCCCCAGGAATATGACATACTGTGCCTTTGACAGCCTCGAGATAAGCACCTGCGTTCGGGTCCCTTTTTACGTCACACCTCCCCATTCACAGCCCTTCAACATGATGCACATTTGCACATCAACAGCCACCAACCCCCTCCTCGCTCCACTCCCACATCCGCAAAACACACAAACAGGCACACAAGGAGGCAGATGCGCGCACTACCCTCTACTCCGCTGCACGTACACTTGTGCACTCTCGCTCGTCCACGCGCCAGTGATTTTTATAGTGGAGATACAGCATACTGCCACAAACAAGATAATTACTGATTACAGATTTGTATCCTGCCTTATTTTTCAAGCCTTTATGAAGAATTATTTTGTGTATTACATAAAAACAAACTTTCACTTGCTTTGTCATAAGACTGGGGCATATGCCCTCCCAGGCTCCTCATACATCACTCATCATGCAAATGAGAGGGAATGTCACTCCTCAGCAGCAGATGGCCAGGGATGATAACAATGGCTCAACAGACCAGTTTCAATGTCTGCGACTTTATCGCTACGGCAACAACAAAAAAGACGATATGAAATCCTTGTCTGTTAATTTGATTTTGAATGTTTACCTGTCAGTCTGCTTTATTTCTCCAGTAAAAGCCAATTCTGTTGCAGCAAGGCTGGCTATCAGTAAAAACCAGGGACCTGGAAGTAATATTTGGTGACTATTGCAGACACTTATTCAAGTAATTAGGTGTAATTCCACCCCGTAGGCCATGTTAGCTCCTGAGTTAACGTGAGCATTAATTCGACAGGCCTAGATAGACACAGGGCATGAATCAAAACTGGAACATGAGCTTCCATGATATGAACGTGATGTCACCTTCCATCCTGACGATTCCTGACCATATACCAACCCCTGTAGCCAAGAGTAAACAGTGCAAGCGTTGAGCAAACAGGGCCAGATTACAATGACAAAGGCGACCACACTTCTGGGTGGAGCCTGGGGCAAAAGAGGGGGGCATTAAAATAAGTGATACCCACGATGACCCCCACCCCCTCTTTTCCCCTCCCCATCTCTTAAGATCCTAACCCTACTCTCCCCGTCTGCAGCTGATGCAGGGGCCACCCAAACACACTTAGCCCGTTCGTAATGTCCCTCGAGACAATTGTGTGAACATAACATGTAATAATAAGGTATTTTCAGTCCTTTTCTATCATTTGTGCTTTTGCTTATGCAAGGCTGGAGACTTACGAATCTCATTACTTAAGGTTTGGCAGTTGATCATCACCTTGTTTAATGCCTCATTTGAAAGTCTAATGTTTAACTGTCTTGGAGAGCCAATCTATGGTACACTGTGAAAGAGACATCACACAAAGAAAGTCGACCTGCTCTGCTTTTTATGCAACATTTGTGCCTTTCATATACACATCTGAAAGTAGAGCGTCACATTGTATCTAAGCATCTTATCAAAAAGGAACATGCTCTCAAATCACGGACACAGACAATCTTGCCTTCGAAGAAAAAAAAAACAGCCAAGGAATGATTGTTTCATGTTTCAAAGTACACAACAATAACGTGAATCCCATCTTAAGCCATCTTGACAAATGTGTAATGTGTAAAATACAGCGACATATTGAAGACTTATCCCCATCTCCTAAATCAGATGTTTTTATGCAAACCGTATCCATGTTTCAAAGTAATCTTGCATTAAAGATACTGTTTAATCCAAATTACATTTCATGTTCAGTGGAGAATTTGAGAGTTGTAAACAGCCCCACAGCACAACTCTCTAAGCTACAATCAAAATGTTTGCATGCGTTAGACCACATTTCATATATTTAGTCCAACTCTGCTCATGACAATAGCATAGATGGAGCATGGCAATACAGGAGGTCAAATAGCTGTATGTAAAGTGGTCCAACAGTAAGTAACAGTATGCAAAGGTTTTATTGATTTAAATTGACTTAAAGTACACAGTTACAGTTAAGAATCAATATATTTTAGTACTAAATAAGTAGCCTATGAATTTAAGAGATTTAAGAGATCCTTTATGTGTCACACAGTGGGGAAATGTCAGTGTTGTATCACAAGTTACGGAACAAAACTCAAGATAAATGAACAATACCTCTACTAAAATTAAATAAAATCTCTATCTTTAGCATAGAAAAGAGGCAAGTGTAAAATCTCTAGCTTTCGCATAATAAAGAAGCAAGTATAAAATCTTTAGCTTTAATGAAGAAACAAGGATTAATTATAAAGTATTCATATATAATAAACAATACTGGATCATAAAGAATACCAAATTCCAAATAATAAAAAACATAATGAGCAACTTGAATAGGGCTATTAGTAAATAAAAAGTATACATCTTTAAATCCAAGGCACTGGGTCTCAAACTTTTCACATTAACCTCTACATAAGAAACTACATTTTCTCCAAGGTACACCATGTCTAAATACATATACAATACAAGATACAAGAATTTATTTGCCATTTGCAGTAAAACCACATTGGAAAAACTGTGCAAGTGAGTACAACCACTTAGTCTACTTTATTAAATTCAATACTATTCAATTTATTCTTGTATCGTATAGCCCTAAATTACAACAATAGTTTTCTCAGAGGATTTTACAGTCGAATTCGCCAGCACAGATCAGAGAATCAAACGGTTCAAGCACAATAAATAGAAACATAGAGCCGTTGGTCCATAAGGGACAGATGACAAAAGTCCATAAATGTTGATAAATGTCCATAAATGTTGTCAAATGTTGAGTGTCCTGGATCATCAGGACACTACCATCATAGTTTACAGCTCAAAAATGTCTAAATTAGAAAATACTGTAGTCATTGTAAACATGGATGAACCCAAAACAGGACAAAATGTGGATTAAAATGCCATAGAATTATGTATATATTTGAACTGCAGAGGACTCCGTTGACCACCAGAATGAGCTCAAGTACCACCAGTGGGGCGCGCACCATAGTTAGAGAAACACTGATCTAAGGAAAGCAAATGAGAACACTAATATTGGGTTGTGTGGACTGTATTGAGTGCAGTGCCATGTACTATTTTGTTTGGCCTTAACATCTGCTCATCTCTGAAAAATAAAACAAGCAACAGAGCATAGACCAGTGTTTTGTCAAGCTATTTCATCAGCTGAAAATGTGGGCATAACTACAGAGAGCTGATGGAGAAATGAAAGAGGAGTGGGTTGGACAAAATTACATGTCAAACAAGGGTTCACATTTAAAAAGTCCTGCTCATATTTGTAGAAAGTGTTTGATTGCATTTAGAAAGGTATTACAATGGGTCACATCTGTGTCTAAAAGCTTTTTGCATTCTGCTGCAAATTATGTAAGCAAAGTGAAGTGTCACAGCACCCTGTTGTTTTGAGCACTATACCTTCGTCCTGAAAATCCTACACAAATATGGATTCTTCTAATGCACTGCAGGATCAAAATGTCACTGTGTAACTTCAAAAGCCCCCACTCGCTCACTGTACCCCACCTCATCATTTCAACAAAGCCACGCAACTAATTTCACATGGCAACCCGAACGCATCAACAACAATGAACCTTCACAGAGCACTATTCAATCTGATAGATGTGTAAAAATCTATATTAAAGTGTGGTTAATTTCAGCCATAATGCTTTAAGCCTGGTCCCACATGACAAAAATGTTTCTTCTTGGTTGTACTCAACCTGCATTGTGCTACCACTTGATGCCGCTTGTTCATCAGAGAAAGTCATATAAAAGGAATGAATTAAATTTAAAAAATAAATATATTTGCATATGCAAATAGGAGCACACATAAGTGCATGTTGTTGATATGGCTTGAGGATGTAGAACTATCTTTATGTTAATGTCAACAGACAGCGAATTTTCTTTTGAAAATACAGTACATTTTTCATGGGGATCATTATCTACACTGCATGTCAGTGTGTTTCACTTAAAAGAAATGATTAGATTACTTCCCAGCAATCCCCTTTGGGGTGATTTGTGTGCGACCGTGGGCACACTTACAATATGTTTTTTTTTCAATGTCCTTTGATGAGACTTCAATAACATTTCAAATGTTTTATGGACAAATATAGGACATTCTATCTCTGCCTTGAACTGATGCCTTTGGTGCTGAGTAAATGCTATAGTTATGCGGTGATGCAAACCATACCAAGTTCTGTCTCATGTTTCCTAATGTATTCAGGTGATCCTTACAAACACATTCAACCACAGATGCGACAAACTTTCACCACAGACAGCTGCTCAAACTTTCTCTTTTTATGTCATGTCTTGTTATTTAAACCATGGAATTTGAATGCAACTTTATATAATGAATATTGCAATAATTTCCACTATTTTCCAACACAGTGGGTGTTATGATTAGCCAGGTATGCCTAAAGCTCCTTTGAATACTGATCTCAGTTTACAATGAAGATCATACAACATTTTTTGAGAAATATGCATGTTTTGTGTTACACATTTCTTTTAACAACATGTATCACAGCCACATTACCTAAAATTGATATTGAGCACTCTGTTAAAATCACACAAAGTAAAATTATGCAAAGCAGCAGTTATTAGTGGCCACTCCACATGTGCCCGGTCAGTTAAAGTGTGCGGTTTGTGCTCCGCAGGTCCCGTCGCCTTTGTGCGGTGTCATTGAGAGGTTGAGGTCCAAAGCGCGTCAGTCTCAGGGGGTCTCTGCCCATCTCCTCCATTCAGACGACAACACAATGAAGCAGACACGCCTCTAAATGACCAGAGAGGAGCTTGGGATGCGGAGCCAAAAAAACAGCATCAAAACAATAGTAACAGGTGTGTATATTGCCAGCTTTGATAATGACCTTGGTGGCTGTAATAGTATGTCTAGACACAACTAAAACAGAGGACGGTTATACGTTTGCCCCCAAAAAAGTCCCTTGAGTGTGAATGTGCTGCCCACAAGTGGAACATTTATCAGCAAGAGTTATGGGATACTTGCCTCAAAGATAATATGAGGTTTGCTAATAATGACAAAAATTGGATTATGAATATGGAAAATGTTGTTTTGACTACATTCAAACCTCAAACCTATAAAGACAATATATATATAAGTATATCAGGCCACAACCCATGCTGAATATTATCTATCTATATGTTTTGTGACTTGCTGCTACTTACAATAGAAATACAAATAATTCTGATTCTGAAATAATTTGATTTAATATAAAGTATCACACACATAAAAACCTGGACATTTGGCTGACCACATTTTAACTCATTTGCATGCTTTGAATGTGGTTTTTATTAATATCAAAATACT